TTCTCCCTCCTGACAATATGTCTGAAGTATGAGAGACGAAGTTTGGCCATCTTGGCCTCCAAGAAGCACTCTGGCAGCACTTAGTCCAAAACGGATCTATTGGTTCTTTTGGCAGCCCATGGCACTTTTTAATATTCTCCTCCAACACCATTACTTGAAAGCATCAATTCTTCTACGGTCTTCCTTATTAACTGTCCAACTTTCTCATGCATATGAGGTTATTGATAATACCATGGCTTGGGTCAGGAGCACCTTAGTACTCAAGCTGACATCTTTGCTCTTCAACACTTTTAAAAAGGTCTTGTGCAGCAGATTTGCCTAATGCAATACATCGTTTGATTTCTTGACTGCTGCTTCCGCGAGTGTTGATAGTTGATCCAAGAAGAATGAAGTCCTTGACAACTTCAATCTTTTCTCCGTGATAAGAATGTTGTTTATTGGTCCAGTGGTGAGGATTTTTGTTTTCTTTATCCTTTCACAAACAGCATTGTACCTGTCTGGATATGTTCTTTTTGATAAATGAATGCGATGCCATTCCTGGCTTAGTGTGATTGTCGGACTCAAAATGGCCACTGCCAGCCCATTTCAGCTCATTAATGTGTAGGATATTGATATTTATGCCTTCCATTTAATTTTTGACAGCTTCCTAATTTCCTAGATTCATGCTTTGCATATTCCATGTAGATTGTTCATGGGTATTTAGAGCTGTTTCTCTGTTTTGAGTTGTGCCCCATGAGCAAATGAGGCAGTGAGGTTTATTTACAAGAGAAATTCAAGAAGGTCCCTTGTAATTAAACCTCACTGCCATTGAGTTAATTCTGACTCACAGTGACCCTGTAGAATAGAGTAGAATTACCCCATATGGTTTCTAAGGCTATAAATCTTTTTCTTCTCTAGTTTTTCTTTTTTTAACTTTTTATATCTGTTTCTCACTTACCAACATGCTTAAGGTTCCACAGACAAGTTCATATGTGAAAATTGGCGTTATCTGAAAATTGAGGATGACCATATCATATCACAAAATGAAAGATGAATATTTTATTATGTAAATTACATCATTACATAACTGCCAAATTATGCCAAATACAAATTACACCATATGCTTCAGCTTGCATATCTTTAGAGTTTGCAGATTTGCTGTTTTTTTTCAATGAGGTAGAGATTCACATAAAATTAAGTGCTCAAATCTTCAGTGTAATATTCTGAGTCTTAGAAAAATGTATACACCAGCATTCTGCCTACCATTAGGTGAGGTCTGATGACAGAATTTTGATATAGTCTCCTTAAAAATGGAGTTAACCCCAAGAGCAAGAAAATCCACTTGGAGACAGAAAGTTGCCAACATTCGTGGTGGCAGTGGTGGTCTCTGACAACCTTTGTGGGAAAGAAGAGGTACGAGAGCAATGACATTTATTTGTTGTTGATAAATGTATATACAGCACAGCATACACCAATTCAGTTTCTACTTGTACAATTTAATGACATTACTACATTCTTAAAGTTGTGCAAGCATTTTTACCCTCCTTTTCAGAATTATTCCTTCTCCATTAACATAAACTCACTACCCACAAGCCTCCTGTCTAACCTTACAAGTTTTTGTTGTAAATTTGATCCCGCCAAGAGAGTACTTTAAAAGAACACAATACTGAAGGCAGACATTCATTACCAATTCATCTAGGCTAATGTTTGGTTTAAAAAAACCTGTAGGAGAGTATTTTTGGTTTCAGGTTTAAAGATGATCCTAGGGTCATTAGTTGGTGCATGGGATGTCAGTGGCTACAGGAAGTCTGGATTTTATGAGATTTTGAAATTCTGCTCTACATCCCCTCACCCCTTTTGATCAGAATTCTTCTGTAGAATCTTTATCAAAATGTTCCATTACAGTAGCCAGCATTATCCATTTTTTCTGATTTCATATCAAAGGAAGCAGTTGTTACTGAAAGCAATTAACCACGCATTAGATTTTCTCCTCTTGTTCCAAACAGGGGTCTTTTTATTTCCTGGCTTTCAGAAGGTATCCAACAGTTAGTAACTTACTCAGTCACCAACAAGCATCCTGCTACCTAACTCCCTGTCAAATTAGGCCTTTTATTACCACATAACTTAGTAAGAATTACTTTAATCAATCAGTCTCTGAAGTGATATAAAGAAATGAGGATTATAATACCTAATGAAAAATAGCTGTAATGTGTTTTAGAGCACAGTGGTAGTGCAGGGGCCAGTGAGGGATGGGAACAGCAACTGAGGACCTTATGCTGTCAGATGTTAGCATCTATGAAGTTATTGACCCCCCCTAGGGGGGTGGAGAGGATTCAGTGCCTTAAGGGAATAGATTGGAAATGATCTATGGTCTGAAACAGCTTTTGTGTATTGAGAACCAGAAATAACAAAGTAGCTTTGCCAGTAATATATACATAGCAGAACCATTAGTGTCAAAATAACATTTTAATACTTAAAAGTTATACTATCTTGCAGTACACTAGCGGATTTCATAATAATCATGATCATTATCTAAAAATATACTAGATTGAATTGTCACAAATCTCTCTTTAGTAAGTTTGTTGTTTTTAATTTTGATGTTTTATTTTTTAGCATTTATGTATTCATTATTATCAGCAATATCTACTAATCAAATTTTTTGTGCATATTTATTATTACCATAATTAGCAAATGTAATAAATTATATCTTCCTGAAGATTCTTCTTGTTTTCTAGATCAATTTCTTCTTGTTGCTTTTTTTTTTAAAGGTGAATTTCTCCCTACTGGTCCATGGGTGTTTTCCTATGGTATAAAATTTTAAATCAATCAGAAAGCTAAAACCCAGACCAGACCCAATGTTTTCAACTCAATTCTGAGTCATAGCTTCTGAATTCTGTTCCATAGAATTTCAGAGACTGTAAATCTGTACAAAAGCAGATAGCCTTATCTTTCTCTTGTGGAGTGGTTGGTGGGTTTGAACCACTGACCTTGCAGTTAGCAGTCCAGTGTTTAACCCATGGTGTCACCAGGTCTCCTTGAACTAGTAAACTGTTGTTGTTAGTACGTGCTGTGGAGTCAGGTCCTACAGTGCCATGTTGCAAATTAGGCTGCTATGGACCTGGTGTGGTACTGTAGGATAAGCATTGAACTGCTAACTGCAAGGTTGGCAGCTCAAACTTAATTTTACATTTGGGGATCTTACATTTCACGCACACAGAGAAATCAGTTTTTACTTTAGAAATAATATGACTGTAGATATTTAATACAATGAAGTCTCCCAACGCCCCTCTCTGGTCTTATGCATTATGTTATAGATGTGTGAGAATATGCAATATATAGTTTGAATATATTAATATATATTATCATTACTGATATAGAATACTAGTAATATGTAACTGGTATTTGAGATTTATGAAACACTTACATTTTTATGCTTTGTATTATTTAATCTTCCCATCCGAACAATCCTATAGATAGGTACTGTTGCTATTCTCACTTTGCAGAAAATTAAAGTGAGAACTTAAGTTCAGTGGCATGTAACTTCTCACAGTTTTTAAGTGGTAGCACTTGAATTCAAAACATTTTAAACGACTACACCAAAGACTTCTACTCATTCTTTCTTCCTGTGTAATAATAGACACTAGCCCCTAACTTAGTTACTCTAAGTGACAACAATGACTCTAATCTGAGCAAAGTAATTAAAAACCTTCTCAAAAGTGAGTTTTCTCATTGTCCTCTGATCAGAGCAAGTTTTCACTGATTACACTATGATTCCTACCACTGCGCTCCTCAGATGACGTACTCAGTAGTCCCTTAACCTAAATAACTTTTGATATGTTTAACATCTACAGTTAATTGTTGTTGTTGTTGTGGTGAAGTGCCGTCAAGTCGATTTCTACCCATAGTGACCATAGGTTTTTCGAGGAGCAGCTGGTGAACTTGAACCACCGACCTTGCAGTTCAAATTGCTTTGCAGTCTGGTGCATTAACCCACAGCGCCACAGTTAATTAAAAGATATTAATTAGGCCTTAATCAATGTATCAGAGTCCAGGTGTGGTGCTGTAGGATAAATACTAGAATACTAACCACAAGGTCACTGGTTCAGGCCTACCAACCACTCTTCAGAAGCCCTATACAGGGTTGCTGTGAGTCAGAAGGGATTAACTAGCACTTAACAACAACACTCAGTATATCACACTAAGTACTGTTATTCCAGCTACTGTGCTCATACAATGGTTACTATTCTGGGAGGTAGACTTGTTGTTGTAAAGTGCCATGGAGTTGGTTCCGACTCATAGCAACCCTGTACAGGGTTTCTGAGGCTGTAAATCTTTACGGGAGCAGAACGCCTCATCTTTCTCCCGCAGAACAGCTATTGAGCCACGATGTATTGAAGTTACTTTGTTTTCCAAATGTACATTTTCTTAATCTAAAAAAATGTTTGTACTTGGGATATCAGAGCTATTTTTTAAAAACCTTTAAAAAATATATTTAGGTGGGTGATAGCTTTATCTTATGCCCATTCATCACATTATCTTGTGGCTTCTAGTGCCTCAGCATTATCAGGGTGGCAGAGTTTTAGAATCAGAAGATAATTTAAAGGTTGTATGTCTAATGAAGGAGCTCTGGTAGTGGAGTGGTTATGAATTGGGCTGCGAATCTCAGGGTCAGCGGTTTGAAACTACCAGCTGGTCCGCAGGAGAAAGATGAGGCTTTCTGCTCCCGTAAAGATTTACAGCCTCGGAGACCCTGTACAGGGTCGCTATGAGTCGGAACCAACTCCACGGCACATAATGTCTAATACCTATTCTATTCATGCTTAAAGCTCTTTGGCATTTTGGAGATCATTAGTTAATAAGCCTAATAATTCTGTTTCTATACAGTGTTTTTTGGTACTTATTAGCCCAACAAGCCCAACAAGTAAATGTACTCATTTTAGGAAAGTATACTGCCAAGGTTAAATCATTAGTATAAAGCAAGCATTTGGTTGATCGTCTGTTTTTTGTATATTTTTACACAGAATAAAGAACCTTCTAAATCTAAATCCAGTGTCAAGAAAAAAGCAACCAAAGTTGCAGAAGCAAAGAAAGTAATGAAGAGAAATTTTAAAGTCAATAAGAAGATAACGTTTACTGATGAAGGGGAGGTAAGAGTCTGTAAATACTTCATTTCTAAGTTACATTCCAAGTACTATAAAGCATTTGATTCTCCTGCTGATTTATAGTTCTGTAATGATAAAGATAAGTGTTGCTTTAAAGCATGTTGGACAGTTCCTTTTACGGTTACCTCAGGCATTCCAATGACTGTAAATCTGTGGACAAGGATGCCTTAATGGCAATAAACTGATAATAGAGTTGGTTTTGCATTTTCTAAATTCTTAGCTATTAAAAAGATAAGATTTTCCTATGTCATGCTTTCTATCAATATACTCTGTGGGAAGAGAGAAACTTCAATGCAAGTGCCAGAAAAGCAAATCAATTATTTGTCACAGCTTGTTTGCTTAACTGTGTCCTTTGCAGTTCATTGATGATTTATTTGGCAGTTTCTATTATTTTTTCGTATTACTATTATTATAATGAAATGTGCAAAGACTTGGGAGTTAGAAAACCAAAAGGGAAGAACACGCTCAGCATTTCTCAAGCTAAGGGAACTGAAGAAAAAATTCAAGCTATGACTTGCAATATTGAAGGATTCTATGGGTAAAATAGAGTCCTGGTGTAGCCCTGAGGGTTAATGCACTGACCGTAAGCTTGGTTTGAACCATAAGGTAAGTGGTTCAAGCTCACCAGCTGCTCCCCAGAAACCCTAAACAGGGTCGCTATGAGTCAGAACTGACTCAATGGTACTTAACAACAACAACAATGGATAAAGTATTGAGTGATGCAGAAAGCATCAAAAGAAGATGAAAGAAATATACGCATTCACTGTACCAAAAAGAAATAGTTGATATTAAACTATTTCAAGACCTTAACGTATGATCAAGAGCCAATGATATTGAAGGAAGAAGTCCAAGGTGCACTGAAGGCATTGGTGAAGAATAAAGCACCCGGGATTGATGGAATACAAATTGAAATCTTTCAGTAAAGTGATGCAGCACTGGAGGTACTCATACATCTATGCCAAGAAAATTGCAAGACAGCTTCCTTGCCAACTGACTAGAAGAGATCCATGTTTGTGCCCATTCCAAAGACACATGACCCAATGGAATGAGGATATCATTGGACAATAAATATCATTAACATTGCATGTAAGCAAAATTTTGTTAAGGATAATACAAAAAATGGCTGCAACCATACATTGACAAGAAAATTCCAGAGGTTCAAGCTGGATTCAGAAGAGGACGTGGAACAAGGGATATCTCTGCTGATGTCAGATGGATCTTGGCTGATTGTGTAGATCATGACAAGCTATAGACAACATTGTGTAGATTGAGTTGTGATCATGAGGAACCTGTATATAGATCAAGAACAAGGGAACACAGAATGGTTTAAACTTAGGAAAGGTGTGCGCCAGGGTTGTATGTTCTTTCACTATATTATTTGCTCATTTGGTACACTGAGCAAATAATACGAGAAAGCTGGAGTATGTGAAGAAAAACATGGCATCATGATTGGAGTAAGACTCATTAACAACCTGTGATATGCAGATGGTACAACCTTGCTTGCTAAAAGGGAAGAGGACTTAAAATACTTACTGATGAAGACCAAAGACCACAGCCTTTGGTATGGGTTGCACCTCATTTTAAAGAAAACAACAATCACCACCACTGGACTAATAAACATCATTTATAAAAGTGGAGAAAAAGTTGAAATTGTCAAACACTTCATTTTGCTTGGATCAACCCTCAGCACTCATAAAAGTAGCAGTCAAGAAATCGAACAATGTATTGCATTAGGCAAATCTGTTGCACAAAACCTCTTTAATGTGTTGAAGAGCAAAGATGCCAATTTGAGGACTAAGGTGCCCTTGACCCAAGCCATGGTATTTTCAATAACCTCATATGCACTTGAAAGTTAGACAGTGAATATGGAAGACTATAGAAGAATTGATGCATTTGAGTTACACTGTTGGAGGAGAATATTAAAAGTACGATGGACTGCCAAAAGAACAAACCAATCTGTATTTGAAGGGTAGCCGGTAGAGGTGTAAATTTTCTTTACTCTGTCATAGAAATACATCCCTGGAGTCAGAGCAGTGGATGCATTCTTATTGTAATCTCTGGATTATCTCACTGCTTTATTAATCTTAGTGACAGTAATATTTGGTACCCTCATGGTTTGCCAAAAGCTGAGACTCTATAGACTTCTCAACTTGAAGAATGGCTGTGGTGGCCCCAAGAGTAAAGGGAAGGGAAATACCTGTGATGTGTGTGTCTACAAATTTTTTTTTTTTCCTGCAGGTAGCTGCTTAATCCTTCTAGTAATCAGTTATTATACAAAATAGGAAATTGGCCTTTTCCTTAAATTGTCAAAGTTTTTCAGTTTTAGAACTGCAAGAGGGCTTCAAAGTTACCTAGTCCAACAACTTCATTCTTTATTTAGGATTGTGGTTAGCATTCCATTGCTTGTCCTACAACACTCCCAAGGCTCCTTTTGGCAACCACTTATTAAATAAGGGAGCACCTGTTTATTCAGGATTGTGCAGTTGTTAAGTGTTGAGTTGGTACTGACTCATACTGACTATAGGGTTTCCGAGGAGTGACTGGTAGGTTTGAATTGCTTACTTTGTGGTTAACAGTCCAGTGTTTATCCTACAACACCACACCAGGACTCCAGAATCATGCAGCAACATAGTGAGAAGACTAGGACATTAAGACAGGACCCCTCACTCCCAGATCCCTATTTTGTCACCTTCTTCCTAACTATAAACTAAACTCTATGTGTAAAATACTGTCAAATCAGCAGATCTGTGAAACCCAAGCTGATTTTCTCTGGTACCCTTAGTTATATCAGTCCTTATGTGCCATAGAGGTCTATGTGTGCCTCATTAATTCATCAGTCAACTTGGAGAACCCAGTATGTGCCAAGCACTATGCAGATTAATTCTAGTGAGAGAAACAGGAGAGTAAAACAGTAAAGTTGAATGAGACACAAGCGCTCAAGGTACACACAGGTGCTATGTTCCTGAGTCCGCCTAGGTGGTACTACTGTGGTGCTGATTCTGGCTGCAGTATATAGAGAGGAGACTATCAAATGTACTGTTTGAGATGCAGAAACATTTTTATTCTGCTATTTTCTCCAAATTATTTCATGAATGTTTCCTTTAATAATCTTCTCAATGAATTCTGACTGGGGCAGTCGTCTGTGGCTTTAAAAATAAAGCTTATAGGAAATTTGAGTAGAGATTTTAAGGCAGAAAGTGGGGATATGCACTATGTCAAAATTAATACCAAAATGGTTTCGTGTTGATGTTCCCTGTCTCCTTCCTCATTTACTTTTTTCCTGTTTATAGTTGGTTCAGCAGTGGCCCCCAATGCAGAAATCCGTTGTGAGCAGTACTGAGGAAGAGGACCATGTTGGTGGTATCAATTTAGATAAAGCAAAGGAAAGGCTTCAGGAAGAGGATAAATTTGACAAAGAAGAATACAGAAAGAAAATTAAGGCAAAACACCGGGTAAGCTTGTCATCTTGAAATAATAGTGAAAATGTAATATGTCTTTAAATATTCCTAAACATATTCTCTCTCTCTCTCTCTCTCTCTCTCTCTCTCTCTCTCTCTCTCACACACACACACACACACACACACACACATGCACATTGTAAAATTATCTTGGGCGTTTTTGGTATATGTTATATAAAAGCATTTAGATGAAATTGTATATTTCCCCTGACAAAGAGGTTCCAGATAACAAAACTTGGAGTAAATATTTGAGCATTTACATTTTAATAACTTTTTCTTCTGGATGTCTTATAATGTTTTTATTATTATTTTTTGTAGCTAGAATTTAGAATCATTGCCAAGCTTTGCAACAAATTAAAACCACATTGAAATTTATTGAATCTTTTTTTTCTAATTCTTTTAATGTAATATACAGAAATGTTTGGATTTCTATTTTATGTGTATTATAATGAACATATTTTAGATTATTTTAAATTGATGTTGCTAATTATTGCTCCATAATTATGACTAATTTTGTCATTTCTAATTTTTAACGTAGAATTGTTCACCTGTGCAAATTTATATTGTATTTAGATATTTCTTTCATTCTTTATTCATTTAGCAAATATTTACTTTGTTTGTATAAGGTTGTTGTTTTTCTTGTTATGTGCCATGGAGTCGTTCCAACCCATAGTGACCCTGTACAGGGTTTCTGAGGCTGTAAATCTTTATGGGAGCAGAAAGCCTCATCTTTCTCCTGCAGAACAGCTGGTAGTTTTGAACTGCTAACCTTAAGCTCTGGTAGCGTAGTGGTTACAAATCGTGCTGCGAACCTTAAGGTCAGCGGTTCGAAACTACCAGCTGCTCCGCGGGAGAAAGATGAGGCTTTCTACTCCCGTAAAGATTTACACCCTCGGAAACCCTATACAGGGTCGCTATGGGTCGGAACCGACTCGATGGCACATAACAACAACAACAACAACCTTAAGGTATGCAGCCCAATTCGTAACTGCTACACTACCAGAGCGCATTTTGTGTAAGGTACTTTGTTATATATTTATATTCATATAGTAAATCATTCTCTAAGATTAAAAAAAAAGTTTCCTACCTATCTAAAAAGAAATTTAAAAATTTTCAAGTGTTCATTGAAAATTTTCTTCGTTCTAACCTATTAACCAGTGCCTTCTAATCAACAATGTTATAGTATTGATAAAAGAAGATAGAGCATTTCATGTTTTTTTTTTTAAATTAAATTTTTCTAAGAATGTACATTATGTTTATGCCTCTTTATATGAGGATATTGAAATAGATTATCAAAAACCTTTTTAAACTCTTGTCCTTATAGAATTTGATATGTTTCTCTTCAGTATTAATGAAAATAACGTGGTGTTTCACTATAGTTGAAATCAACCAAAAGGTGCTTTCATGTACTCTATTTCCATCTGTTTTCCTCACCATCTTTTGTCCATGCTCTAATGGGATGATTTGCTTTTACCGCTAAGTTCCTTTTGTGTTTCAGATGCTAGGCCCTTAGTTTGTAAACCTTTACTCCAAGTCTGTAGTTTGTCTTTTCACCTTCTTAATAGTTTTTTTGTAGAGCAAAAGTGGTTAATTTTGAAGAATTTGAACTTTTTAATTTTTCCTTTTATAACTCATACTTTTGGCATTATACCCAAGAATCCTTTGTTTACACCTAAGTTCTAAAGATTTTATTATTTTTTTTAATCTGAAAGTTTTATAGTCTCTTATAGTTTACATTTGAGTCAGCAATCAGCAATCAGTATTGAGTTAATTTTTTAATAAGGTGGAGACTTAGGTTGAGGTGTGTGTGTGTGTGTGTGTGTGTGTGTGTGTTTGCCTATGGTTGCAGTGTCATTGGTTCCTGAGACTATCACCAGGTTTGGTGATTGGCTAGGAACATGCACAGGACCGAGCATATAATTATACTTCAGCTCTGATTTAATACAGAGAAAGGATGCAAAGCAAAATCAACAAGCGATAAAGGTACATGGGGCCAAGTCTGCAGCAAGTAATGAGAGCTACATTGTTGATGTTTGTGCCATTGAGTGGGTTCCAACTCATAGCAACCCTATACAGGATTTCCTGGGAGCAGCTGGTGGGTTTGAATGACCAACCCCGCAGCTAGCAGTCCAATGTTTATCCTACAGCGCCACACCAGGACTGCCATGAAATCACAGAGCATACTTATTTTGTACCATAATGAACTGTGGCAAGTGTGAAGTGTTTTCTGTCAGAGAAATTCATTAGTTGTTTTTATTAGGATCTGCTCATGTGCATACCTCCTGCCTATTCAGCTAAATTTCTAGAATCCCAGAAAGAGACATTCAACACCAAGTCCTATTGTTTTGTTTATACAAACAGTTTAAACTCAAGCAGATATACTCAAAGTTAGGGCTAGTTTGATATTATTTTGTTATTGTTGTTAGGTGCAGTTGAGTCACTTCTGACTCACAGCAATCCTGTATAGGCTTTCTAAGGCTTTTAAATCATTGTGGTAGCAGAAAGCCTCGTCCATTCTCTTCCATGGTGACTGGTGGGCTTGAATTGTGGACCTTAGGGTTTACAGTTTAGTGCTTATCATATTATTTTGTTATTGTTAAGTGTCCTCAAGTCCGTTCTAACTCACAGAGAGGGCTGCAGAGGAACAGCTGGTGAGCTTGAACCGCTGACCTTGCAGTTCAAACCGACTTTGCAGTCCAGCACATTAACTTGCAGTGCCACAGGGAGGGAGCTATTTATCTTTCACATTCCCAAGCCCTAGACCAGGGGTCAGCCTTGCTGGCCTTTCTGAGTAAGGTTGTTAGCAGTCTCAGGCCTGCTTTTTCCTGCACAGAGATTGAATTTTTCTATACTATTTGTTGAAAAGGTTATCTTTCTTCCATTGAATTGCTTTTGTACTTGTGTCAAAATTCGCTTAAGCGTATTTGTATGGTTCTGTTTCTGGAGTTTCTATTTTCTACCATTGACCTGTATGTCTATCTCTACCAATCCACACATAAAGTGGTGGGCATAGAATAAGTTTTAAACTGGGGTAGATGGTTTTGTTTTTGTTTGTTTTCATTTGATTCTTCTTCAAAATTGTTTTAGCTGTTCTAGTTTAACTCTTTCATAATTCTTTTACAGTTGCATATAAATTTTAGAATAATCTTGTCTGTATCTAAAGTAAATTTTCTTAGAATTACTGTGCATCAATTTGTAGAGAATTGATGTCCTTACTCTGTTGAATCTTCTTATCCACGAACAGGAATCTTGTAGTTTTGGACTTGTGTTTGACTGTTTGACCTGGTAATTATTTAATAGAGTGGTAAGCTTTATTTAATTTTATTTTCATGATAGCAGCATTTCCCTTTTCATTCTTTTAAGAAAAGTAGATATTAAGTGTAACCTTGAGGAATGGAAATGAATGTTGAGAAAAATTCTCCAGAATGAGGAGAACATATGAACCTGAAATGTATTTGGTTGCAATTGTGAGAGGAGATCAGGTGGCACAGCAGATAAAACCCTTGGCTCCTAACCTAAATGACAGTGGCTCCAACCCACCAACTGTTCCACAGGACAAAGGTGTGGCAGTGTGGAAATTGTGTGGGGCACTTCTACAGGGTAGATATGAGTTGGAATTGACTCAAACACATGGGTGTTTTCTGTTTGGTTAATGTTATTGAGAGTACTAAACATTTCCTAGTTTGTGGCATTAGTGATTTGTTGTTAAATAATACTAATAGTATTAATGATCATGTTTGCTCTTGTAATCTTAGAATATTTGTACAGGAAAAGATCTAGCATATAAGAATGTTTTTACCCTGCACGGAATCCTGGTGTGGTGCTATGGATTAATGCAGTAGACTGCAAGGTTGGTTGAAACTGCAAGGTCGGCTGTTCATGCTCACCAGCCGCTCCTTGGAAACCCTATACAGGGTCGCTATGAGTCGGAATGGGCTTGACAGAACTTAACAACAATAGTTTCTATGTAGTAGCTAGCAAAAAAAAAAAAAAAAGGAACGTGAAGAATTGACATAAAACAAAGACTTCTTTGCCTTCCCTTCCCTTCTTTTCCTTGCTCTTCATCTGTAGAAGTTACTATATCCAGGTTATGGAATATTTGTTTCTGAACCCTTTGGAAAGTTAATTTCAAGTTGGTTAAGTGTATATGTATCACATACTGTTTGTGTTGTGTGCTAGACTGCCCTAGGCTCTGAAGATTGTTGTTGTTATGTGCCGTGGAGTCAGTTCTGACTCACAGCAACCCTGTACAGGGTTTCACAGGCTGTAAATCTTTACAGGAAAAGAAAGGCTCATCTTTCTACTGTGGAACAGCTGGTAATTTTGAACTGCTGACTATGAGATTAGCAGCCTAATTCATAACCAATTGGATATTTAAAATACATGGCTCCCTCTATGCTCAGGAAGACTATAATTAAATTTAGCAGTCAGCTGTGAGTATTCTATCATTGCACAAAAGTCTTTTGCCCCTATATTTTTTACATTAGATTTACAGTTTTGGAAAGGATTTACATGTTTTTAAAATACATTGACATGTCTGGCTTCTGCCCTTACTGATCTATCATCTTCTCATTCTATAGGTAACTAGTTTTATTAGTTTTTAATATGTATTCCCAGTTTTTTTTTTTTTTAATACAAATACAATAGGAATACATATTCTTATTTTCTCCCTGTCTTTCACAAAAGGTAATGTGTGTATGTATGTGTATATGTGTGGGTGTATACATATATGTTGTTGTTAAGTGCCTTCAAGTTGGTTCTGACACATAGCGACTCTGTATAGGGTTTCCAAGGAGCAGCTGGTAAGCTTGAACTGCCGACCTTGCAGTTCAAATGGCTTAGTCTGCTGCATTAACCCCCAGTGCCACATCAGGACTCCACATAAATGTAGTTCTCCATAGGAGTCTTGGTGTGGCGTTGTTAGTTAATGCGCTTAACTGCAAAGTTGGTGTGAACTGCATGGTCAGAAGTTCGAGGTCACTAGTTGCTCCTCA